GTGAGTGAGTGAGTTTAGTTTTACGTCGCACTCAACAATAGTCCAACTACATGGCGGCGGTCTGTAAAAATCGAATCTGGACAAGACAATCCAGTGATCAACAGCATGAGTATCGATCTACGCAATTGGTTGGTGTTAGAGCACTAATGACCATCTTGTGAGATTGGAATCGTTTGTCCGAAATAGTTTCATCAACAAACAACATGTTGCATGCATATTCTCTGACTTGGAGAATCACTGGATTGTCTTGTCCAGACTCGATTATTTATAAACCGCATCCATATAGCTGGAATCTTTTAATCTGAGGCAGAAATCAAACAAAAAAAGACGGTGTGGGTGACTTGAATTAACAATGCTCGTTTATGAAAGAGGAGAGGGTTTCACTAAGTTGGAATAACTTGTACCCAATCCATTCTCTTGAATAAATATGTTTAACTCAAATGTTCGTTTAGGGCGAACTGACGTGATGTTCCATTGACTTGTTCTCTGACCATCCCATACAGCAATTATAATGCTATGAATAGATCTTACATCCGTGATCTAATGTAACAGAAGTGGGACACCGAAGTGGGTATAAATAGATTATATAAAAATAATCAACTTGGGTTGTCAGTCCAGATTTTTAAAAGGTCAACAGGCAAGTCGCATTGGCTATACAAGATGTACTCGTGAATATTTATTTAAAGGCACTGAAAGTACCCATGGTCCCTAGAATGGTGATCTACCTTTAGTTGTTGGCAATATATAGCCTGCTTTTATGTTGTGTTGTCCTCTACAGTTAAAATGTTTTAAATTTGATTAAAGGTTTTACGTTTCAATCTGTGAAAATCTAGTTATTTTACTGTCCTTCATTGACAGGTTTCTGTAGTTTAATTCCATTTTTTATCAATGTATAACTTTTCAAGTCACGATACGGCTAAAATATTGCCGATGTAACTATAAATCATAACTCACTCACTAACTGATTTATTAAAAAGTGAGGATCATCCATTTCGTATCCTATGTCCTGCTTGATTGTATTGATTCTTCCATCACAAGATATTTCAGTGTGAAATCGGCATCTTTTTAGATTTTTTTTAGTAATGTTAATTATCATTAATCATTGATTTATATAAAGAAATAAAACTTATTGAATAAGTTTGATTGATATTTTTTTATAAATACATCAATGGTATTGTAAATTTAGAAGAACAAATCAATAATGTAGATTTTAGTGGCTGTATCCTCAAAAAGGTTAAGGTATTGTAAAATCATTGTCCTATTGAGAGGGTACGTAAGTCGATTTAATCTGATCACGATTTTAACCAAAGAATATATTTTCTTAAGGGATTATGTAAATCAAGCTGGGGTAATATAATGCGGGGGTATAGCCAACGCTTGGCCGGTCCGTCCGTCCGTCTGTCTGTCTGTCTGTCTATAATCATTTCGTTTCCAGAACATAACTCAGAAATCGTTCAATATGTTTCAACAAAATTGGTAGTTATATCAAATGTCAACAAAGTGGTGCCTTTGGTGTTTACATAATTTGGGCATTTGTGTTTCTCTCGATTGCCATGGAAACAATTTGGACATGGTTTTAAAAGGAGGGAGTGGGCATTAGTTCCACTAGAAGGATTGAAATTGACCTGTTTTGGTTCTGTGACTGTCCTGGCCATCCTCTTTCCTGGCCTTGGTTTAGGTGGTACAGGTTTGATCTTCTGAGAGTCGCCTGGCAAAGATCCGATGGGTAGAAGCAGGTTCCGATGTACGGTCCGAGTTCTTCCTTCCCCTCGTTCTTTCGTCACAACAAACACCGGGATGTCCGAATTTGGCTGAGAAACAGCGATATACGGGTCCTCTTCCCACTTATCAGAAAGTTTGTGCTTGCCATCGAAAGCTAGGATCTTTACCGGAACACGCTCTCCAGGCTGTACTGTAGTTCCCCTGACATTGATATCATAACCTGCCTCCTGATGCTCCTGGGAATCCTTAGATGCTCTAGTTGCAATTCTCCAGCCTTGTCCCTAGAGCCTGGACGTCAAACTGTTATGCCCCCTGTTTAGTTCTATCCTGAAGGCAAGATCAATTGGAAGTCTGGTTCCCTTCCGAAAATGAGATAGAAAGGAGAGTAGCCCGTCGACTCATGTCTTGTGGCATTGAAGGCGTGGACGAGAGGCGCAACAAATGACTTTCAGTCTTGCTTCTGTTTTGGCTTGAGGGTTCCCAACAGGTTGACCAAGGTCCTGCTGTAGCGCTCAGTCATACCGTTTCCCATAGGATGGTAGGGAGTAGTCCTTGACTGGGCGATTCCAAGTGTGGAACAGAGCTCCTTCATCATCCTGCTCATGAAGTTGGCTCCTTGATCACTGTGGATCCTCCTGGGCATACTGTAGTGCATCACGAGGTGCTTGTAAAACGCTTCGGCTGTGGTCTTGGCACTTGTATTCTTCGTAGGAACAGGCAAAGCATACCTCGTGAAGTGGTCTGTGATCACTAGGATATGACTGAATCCAACCTTTGAAGTCACCAAATTAAGGATGTCCATGCAGACTAACTCCAAAGGCTGTGAGGTGGTGATAGAAACTAACGGTGCTCGAGTGTTGGTCGACGTCTTCCTCCTCAAGCAGCTGTTGCAGGTTTTTATCCAGTCCTCAGTGTCCGCTTGCATCCCTGAGCAGTGAGAGAGTTTTGTCACGTCCTGGGTGTCCCATGTCGTTATGAAGGCCTTGCAAATGCATCCTGGATGAACTTTGATGGAAGTACGACTTGTAATTTTGCCTCTCCATCCACCTTGATTCGCCGTTGTAAGATTCCTCTTTCAAGTACATGTGGGTTGAAGGACCTGCATAGCCATGTGTTGGCCATCGTGCTCGGAAATTCCTGTCTGTGTGGTTTCCTCTTCATCCTGACAGCTTGGATCCATGGCTTAAGAGTAGAGTCTTCAGCTTTGGCCATTCGCGAATCCATATCAGTCATTCCTTTCAGATCCATTGACTTGATGGACATCTCATCAACCGATGTGGCTAAAAGGCAGAGGGATTCCACGTAGGGATGGGCATTAACAACTCCATAACTTGCCTTGACTGAGTCCATAGACAGGTGTTCCGAGGAAAGCTTCTGGTATTCCGGGAGCCTTGACAAAGTATCCGCGTCCGTAGAATATGTCGAAGTCATAGGCCCCAAGCGCTGTGGCTTGTGGCATCCAACTTGGCATTTGTAAAGACACAAGACAAAGGGTTGTTGTCTGCTAGAACTGTAAACTTCGCTCCATACAGGTAGTCGTGGAACTTCTCACATACGGCCCACTTGAGTGCAAGGAATTTCAGACGATGTGCCGAGTAGTTTCTTTCAGACTTCTCTAGTCCTCGACTTGCATAACTGTTTACCTTCTTTACGCCTTTCTGTTCCTGATACAGTACAGTGCCGATTCCCTTTCCGCTGGCATCCGTGTGAAGTTCAAATGGTGTCCCGTAGTTAGGATACCCTAGGACTGGCATTTCCTTCAGATGGTTGAAAGCTTGTTCCTGTTCCTCCCCCCAAGTGCCATGGTTCCTCTGGTGGTTTCTTTGACTTCTTGGATTTCCCATGAGGCATGAGTGCTAAGAGTGGCTTGGGTGTCTTGGCGAAGTCCTTTACGAATTTTCGGTAGTAGTCCGCGAAACCAAGGAACTGTCATACTTCTGTTGGATTTGATGGTGGTGGTTTGTCTGGATCCGCCATAATACCTTCCTGGGAAACGATGTGGCCAAGGAACTTGATTTTGTTCTTGAAGAAGGAACACTTGTCAGGCGAGAGTTTGAGGCCAGTTTCTCTAATTCGCTGAAATACCTGCTTCAGTCTATCCAGATGCTCTTCAAAGGACAATGAGAAGATGATATTATCGTCTAGGTAGATGAGGCAGACCTTAAGGCGAAGTCCCTCGAAACACTCGTTCATGGGCCATTGGTACGTGGCTGGGCTGCTATAAAGTCCAAAGGGCATTCAGTAACTCTGTTGGAAACTTAGTTGCCCGAACTTCACAGGGAGGTCAAGGTCACACAAGTGTGCCATATGTATAGGGCCGCACAAGTGTCTATATGTGGAGGTCAACATATGGCATACATACATACACGTGTCAACATGAAAACAATCTCAAACAGAGTCTATTCACCGAACGATGATGATACGTTGTGGGCGTTGTCGTCGTTGTCCGTGGCTATCGTAGTCGACTAACTGCGTCTTCTATGACTGACGTAGGCCGATCTTCTATAGTAGTGTCCTGTCCATCCAAATCCTCACAGGGGCTCCAAAGTGTAGTAGCGTTAGGATGTAGTTAGCATTCTGACAAGAACCACAAAGCCACTTGGGTGTGAGGCGATGGACTTTTATTACAACGAATGCAATAAACAAAACTTTGAACCAGGTAGGTATGACTTGAGCTGCGGCACAGCCGGTGTCTACGTCATCTTATATACATGAAAAACAGTCCAGATCACTATGATCTCGATCCAATAGAATATGGACAAACCACAACATGTGTGATGACAGTCACATAAGATACTGAGCAAGAGACGAGATGAAATTAACCTTTAGATACCTTAATACCTTATACGCTTGGATGATCACAGAACAACTGAACTCCCACACAAGAAAGGGACATGCTTTAGAAGGGATTGCAGGGAGAAAAGCATGCAGTGCCAATCAGTATTGCAGAAATAGATTACACTTAAGATTAGATTGATGTTTAGAGGGATAATGTTGAATGTTGAGTATAAAATAATTGATAAAATGGTTAGATATAGTTTATTTATTAAGACTGTATATATCATCAAAACATGACAATCAACTTGAAAAGATTCACATGTTTATTCACAAAACTATATACATTTGTATTTATATTTATAAACTTTATACAACACAAGGTTGACTCTGCCCCATCAAATTGAAATTTAAGTAACTGTCAGATAACTTGTTGTTTTGTTTTTTTTAAATCTGTGGGGCCGGGGGACATTTGCCATCTTCTGATTGCCAAAGTTTCAGATCCTAGGACATGTTCAGAGATCTGGAAGGACAACCCAGCTGCTCACAGTGGAGAGTATACCATCATGCCTCAAGCTCCTCAGTTCAGGGGAATATCAGTAAATGTTTACTGCCTGATGAATGATACACACCAGCTGGAGTATGTCACACTGCCAAATGAAAACATTGGAAACTTTCCTAAAATATCGAACGATAACTGTGGAAGTGAAGAGCCATATTTAAAGGATGGTGGTGTTGGCCAAGATGGAGTAACAGTGTATCAGAAGATCAGAATTATACCGTCAGTAAGTTTTCAGGGATGTAAAGGGAGAACTTTACTTTGTGCGCGATAAATAAAACGTTTTCTCGGTCACAATCCAAATGGCCCCGTTGTATTAGGCAAATGGTTTTTTCTACTGTGCAATGTATTCTGTAACTATGTCTGTGCGTCAAATTTGGCACTTTTCATATTTCCCAAGTGATGAAAAGGTTAAACACCACTGTGTCTTGTCGACACCAGTGTGCGAGATAGTTTCCAAATTTTGATAGCCAGTCAGGCTAGCTCTGCCTGAAAGTTACAAGCCCAAAGTAATTCACCAGCCAGAAATTTGAATGTAGAAACTAAGAAAACGATTACAATAAGGTAAAATAATATCAAAAACAAATAAGAACACACATGTCTGGATTTCTGAAATATTTGTTCATGCTCAGACAACTTAAATAAGTCATCTTTAGCTGCTAATATAATGAACATTTCGTAATCTTGCATGATTTTAAAGTGTATTATAACTTAACAAGTCGGAGAGATTGATATATTTACAAGAAAACACTATGAAAATTCACTAGTTAGTTGGGCCCGTGACTGTAGAGATTTCCTGGCCCGAATGGATTTTACTAACCGCGGTGGTAGCCTAATGGTCAAAGCCTCCGCTCGTCACGCCGAAGACCCGGGTTCGACTCTCCGCATTCTATATTTATTTTGAACACTACATGTCATGTTTTTATAAGCCTGTCAACATTTCCATTTATAGTACTTTTTGTGCTTCAGACAATGACTGTTGTGAGAACAGACTCCACATTCACAAGCGGAACCAAGACGAAACCCCATCAGTTTGGTAAAGCAGAAGATTGTTACTCATATGATGGAAACTGCAAACGAATAGGAACCTTTCACATCGACACGCTGGGCACTGGGATGAAGTTCGCCTCTGATGTAAGTTATTCATTTTCGCATACATGGATATATGTGTATGTGCGTGCGTGCGTACATGCGTTCGTGTGTGTCTGTCTGTGTCTGTGTGTGTGTATGGAAGTTTTTTTTATAACAATTTAATATTTAGCTTTCCTTTCAAGAATACAAACATATTCAAACTGACTCACTCAGAATACAAAGATATCACAGTGTTCAATAGTACCTGTATATTTCAATGTAGACAAAATCATTACCAAAGTCATGAACGTTGCAGCCATGTCGTTTAGCTGTGACCGTACCATCATCATGCTTTCTTGATTATAGGTGAGGTGAGGTGAAATTGGGTTTTAACCTCGTTCTTGAGAATATTTCGCTCATATGACGACGTGCGTGCGTGTGTATGTGTGTGTGCGGCTGCGTGTACTAGCCCAGACTGAAGCTGGTTTTATAGTGCTAGCCCACTGAGATACCATGCCACAGTAAAGCATGAATACCCCACTCAGACACATTATACTCCGAGCCGACCAGTCCTTGATGTACCCATTAATGCCGAGCGCCAGGCAGGGACCAACAAGTACCATATTTTAACGTCTTTTGGAATGACGCGGCCGGGGATCGAACCCTTTCTTGATTAAAGCAAATGTATGTGTTAAGTACATATTTTTGTATGTCCAGCTCAAGTGGACAGGAGAAGGATACGCGGCCAAAGTGCACAGTATTACCCGGACACAAGATGGCGCCATCATTGATCTGGTGTGTGGAGGCTGGTGTGGGGGATGTGTTCCTGTTGGAGACATGGTCCTGTACCCAAACAGTCTGGACCCGGTGTGGGGATGAGGAAGGTGATGGTGTTGATGGTGAGGATGCTTGTAGTTGTGTGATGCTGAAAGAGACATGGTATGTCCCCGAATGTCCATGACATGCAGCCAACGTTGAAAGTGGAAAACTGTGATTATGATGTCACCCAAAATGGACAGTGGTAGAGTGAGTGAGTGAGTTTAGTTTTACGCCAGCAATATTCCAGCTTTCACGGCGAGGGACACAAGAAATGGGCTTCACACATTGTACCCATGTGGAAAATCCCCACGGGTCACCCGGACAGAGGAAGAGGTGGATAACATGTTTCTGTGACAGACGACGGTCCTCAACCCAAACATAGGATCTTTTGTGTATGGTATGGAAACAAGGTGTAGCAGTACACCTACTGGCATGCTGTGTGTAGGATATGTGCGTCCGACATACAACGACATTCGGCATATCATGGTCACTATGATATTCTATGAGGAGATAGAGGGCACAAATTTTAGACCATTATTAGAAACATTGAGTCATCCTCGCAAAATGACCAAACTGTGGTCCTGCCCGTTGCATTTCCATAAATAGCGTAAACATCAGCTTATCATTTCATTGAAACTAGGATTAGTCACGATATTGCTGTAATAATGCCGATGTGACTTTACATTTTAACTCACTCACTCAATCACCAGGAAATGACTATCATCACTAAGCAGTTACCTACAGTTACCACAGTTACCTACTGGCATGCTGTGTGCATGTAGCAGGGCAGTGAATGTAATAAACTATATATATATATATATACAGAATAGAAAACATTAAAATAATAAAATCCCTATGTACAAAGTTATATCTGCCACATGTAGGATATGTGCGTGAACGACACCACCACTACACTAAATATGTATCTCCTGCCCAGCCAATTTTGTTTTGTGAGAAAGAGACCCAGTTTGGGCGGAAAATAAAATTATCAGTTCCAATAGGTTTGTTGTGACACGATTTTCAAACGGAGCATAAATTGAAGAGAATAGTCCCAAACAAATTCTGTTATTTGGTAATGCAATTAACTGCACTACAAAGTTATAAGTGCTTTCCATTGTTTCTGTAATATTCAGTGGAAGGCACTGGGCTGCTAGTTGCTATGTTCAGATACGTTTGTGGTCACGAGTATGCTTGAAGCTTCTGCAACAGCACAGGAAATGTCGCTTCAAAATTCAGCATAAAGAGTGTAGGTACGTTTCTTGTCAAACCTCCAAGTATGTGTGCTCAGAACGTCTGGAATGGTCGAACTTGGCCAGAACAAAACTTGACCTAGAATCAGGATTGCTTTATGGCAATGCCAAGAAACGGTGGTTGAGAAAGACATTCTGAATAACGAAGCTTTTGGTTTGATTGAAGTACAGGTTCTGATGAGGAAAGTAGAAATTGAAGTTGAAATTAGAACAAAGAAATAAGAAAGAATTTTGTTCAGATAAGGCATTTTCTATGTCAGGCTTGAACAATTACTTGAACTATTAGATTCTAAGCTCACAAAAAGAACTGAAAATAGACAATATTGTGGTGCTAAAATGGGCATATGAGAACTTGCTTTTAAGTGTAACTTTGGCGTTAAAATGTTCAGATGTGAACTTGCTTTTAAGTGAAACTTGGTGTTAATAGTTGTTTTTCTGGAAACTCTTAAGCAGTGTGTGTCAAATGAATAATTGCCATTTATAAAGCTGTTTCAACGCTCTTGTGCATGCTCAGTGCGCTAACCCATTAACACTCCGGATAAACAAAGCTGCTTGTGAGGCGCTAGAAGGTTATAGTCACATGACTTATCCCACCGGGTACCCATACTGGGTGAACAAACTCATGAACAAACTCACTTGCCTACGGTGAGACCACACATGTCATGTGTGCTTCATTGTGGGGAAGGACTGAAGTCCGAGAAACTCTCGGGAGTCAAGCTGTCAAACACAGTCATGCATCCAAGGACGGTCAACTGATTTATGACCTGGGCTCTATGCACAGGACCACACATCACCAATAGCATTTAGTGCTTACGCTAAAGTGCTAAACTAACACTGGAATGTAGTTGTCATGGTTTAACGTGTATCTCCACTTATGAATATTTTAAACTGTGTAGTATATCCGTAAATAGGTTACGTGTCAACAGATCAAAATTCACAGTAACTTTGATTTGTTCTCCCTTGTCAGCATATATGAAATAGGCGTCGTCAGGCGTTAGGCGCACAATACCTGACAAGCTCGTTATGGGAATACCTTAACGTATCCCGAGGCAGCATTTTAATGACTAAACCATGCTGTATTTTCAATTACACTTGGTTCATCCTACGTGCTAAATGCTCCTCAAGTTTACTGTTTGCTAATACCCCACCGTAAACCAAAAGCTCTCATTACAAAACCTGACCAGTTCGTGCAAACAGAGAAACATTCGTATTGACATTTCAGTTCAATGAGAAGCGACACAATAGTTCAATCGGGTTAGATCAGTATGTACACATCTTTGGTTTGACATAAAGAGATAAAGAGTGAGTGAGTATGGTATTACGCCGCTTTTAGCAATGTTCCAGCAAAATTACGGCGGGGGACACCAGAAATGGGCTTCACACAGTGAACCCATTTTGGGAATCGAACCCGGGGCTTCAGTGTGAACGCTTTAACAACTGGGCTACCTCACTGCCCCAAAGAGATAAAGAGATGGAAATTCAAAACCTGAAGGAAATCCGTATCTCAAGCCTGTCTTTCTCTGAACTGTATGTAGTTAAGGGCTCCTAAATCAGTTGTCAACCAACACCTTTTGTCCATCTAACGACAATTACTCAGTGTATTCAACACGTGGTGGCTTTGAGCATATTTTTACGTTTGTCCTTGAACTTTTCGCTAACCATTCTGAAATACACTTTAATAAATGCACTATAAATAAACACACAATATCCATGTTAACACTCAGTTGTTTCCATACTGTTAGGAGGATATGTTTTTGTTAATTAAAATGCCACATTGATTGACTTTTAGGGTCAGAAATGTTTAAAGCGCTGAGTGTGGATTTGAACCCACGCCTTGAACTTATGCTATGTAGTTTCACCTGTTGAGAGTGGGCTGGGGAGTTGCTTACCCTTTGTATTGCTTCCGGTCTTCGATAGGATGATGTGAGTAATTTCTAGATAGTCGCTGTGTACAATGATTTTTGCTAGACAAATCCAGAACAGTATAATAGGTATATAAGGAGTGGTTATTGAGATGTATGCGGGACTACTTTAGATTTACGCTCATCTGTCTGCTAACATCGACGTTTCAAGACCTTCCACTCGAGGCCTCGTCTACACTGAACTTTCAACAGCTGTCAACAATCTTCAGTCACTATATCTGTTGTTTTTTTACTGGGAATATCAATACTTTGGTGAGTTAATATTTTAGATTTGTGACCCAATACTTGAGATATGTGATCCAATAGTATTGTATTGTATATCTGCCGTTCATTGGTTTTTCAATATACAATTGCATATCATAGACTCGTGTTTTATTTTGCCGTATTAATTTAAGGGAATCACAAATACAATTGCATTTTATCACAGCAATTTTTAGAGACAGTAATTAATACCTCTTCTGTGATGGAACTGAGTCTAACAACACAAAAACGTATTTTCATGATTCAAAGTAATGTCCTGGGTACATCCACGTTATTTTCCAACGTGACCAATACTAACGACCAATAGTACGGTGAATAGAGCCAATGTAGAATGATGATAATTGTTATGGATATACAACTTCTTTTATTCTGTGAAAGACGACGTTTTGACATAGATTCCAATGTCGTTGTCAAGCAAGGGAAACATGAGAAACAAATTGAGAGAATATGTACATGAGTTGTTATTACAATAGATTGGAGATGATGTGCAACGCTTGTATCGGAGATTGAGAAGTTGTTTGGAAGCCAGTTAGGATTGAATTAGAGCTTATACAAATGATAGGAAGCCAGGTGAATGTTTATACAATAGATGGGGATGATGTACATAGCTTGTATGACATGTTGCATAGCTTGTATGACAATTTGCACCCGTTAAGAAGACATGCAAAGGCACGTCACCTACTCAGTTGAACACTACAGAAGCGTCCCGTACAAGTGAAAACAGGAAACTGCATCTCACAGCAAATCAGTTGGTCCACCTGTGGTTATCATATATTCACCGGCATTGCGCATCCCCAGCTCCAAACACACAACCATACACACTCATATCCATTTTATAGCTATTATGATTATAGAACTTTCGCGCTTTGAAGCACCTTACTGAAGAGAACGAGAACGAGGGGAAAACACGGTTATTTCTGCAAATAACCACCACCCCACCCCACTCTCGATCCGCCTGGTGCAGAATATTTCAAAATCCCAGCTTCCCAGGATTTATATTCGTATGTATGTTGGTGTTGACAGTACCTTGAGTACAAAAGGAACTGTTACACAGATCTCGGACGCGTCCATGTTCAGTTTGCAGTTTGCATAGCATTGATGTACTTACAAGGGTCTACCATTGCCCTAAAGTGAGTGAGTGCCTTTAGTTTTACGCCGCTTTTTAGCAATATTCCAGCAACATCACGGCGGGGACACATGAAATAGGCTTCACACTCTGCATCCATGGGGGGTGTCTTCAGCGATTATTGCTTTCTTTAGCATCGTCATGTGAAGTGTTTGGAAGTGTTCTAGTAAACTGGAAAACCTAATCACAACAATGGCAATTTAATTAGCGTATATTATCGAGAGCACATTTATGGAGATAATGTTTTACCATTTGCGCAGATGCAAGCCGGTCACGTTGTGTCAAGATAATGCCCGGCAATACGCTGTAAGTTGGCTGGCTGGTTTGTTGTTTAACGCCGCACTCCGCAATATTCCAGCTATCCGTCGGCGGACTGTAAATAATTGAGTCTGGACCCGACAGTTCATGATCAACTGGCTTGGCTACTCGGAAGGCGAGACCAATGCATGGAAACTTTCAGAGGTTAACATTGGGACTAAAATGACTAACAATTATAAAGAATTGGTGTCGTAACGGAAAGAACAACTGACTAAATCATTCGTTCCTCCCTTGACAAAGCGTCTAGTCAAATACGCAATTACTGACATCCTGGAAGAAGATCATAATATTATCAGTGGTTTTCTTTTGGTGAAATTAACAGCCTGAAAGCCGATGTACATAACCCAAAGACACAACTTAATGCAATAACACGAGAGTTGAGACCTGTTGAACGGAACAGAGTTTACAAAAGAGTCATGGAAATCTACGTGGCGAGTTGACCAGAGGCATCCATGCATTACAGCTGCAGTTGAATCAGACGGCAGTTGACCTGCGTGATGCAAGGATGTGTTGAGTTGAGTTGAGTTGAGCTTTACGTCACATCGGCATTTTGCCAGCCATATAGTGACGAGAACAAGTTTGCATTAGTAAATATTGTAAGTACATACTCGGAATGAGTTTTATTTCAAAGACATTTATTTATTGCATTGTCATTCGAAAGCAGAAAAAATCATAGCATCAAATTTATAGGCAGGCGGTTTGTTACATTTCATAGTTACAATTTATGGTTGTTACATTTCACAGTTACAGTTTATGATACAGATCAACTTCCCTCAGGTAGTTCAGTATCAGATGGCGCTCACGCGTGAGAACAGATCTTTTAGGTTTGTTGCATCATAATGTGAGTCCCTTGCAGGCGATAAGTCCACGCATTCAAGCAGAATATGCTTGACGGTGAACACCTCATCGCAAGAGACACACATGGGGGGTCCATCCCCATCCGTTTTCAGCAGATAGTCATGTGTAAATCGACTGTGGCCAATACGACATCGTCGTAAAATTACCTCATCGCGTCTTGACTGACAACCCAAGTAGGTATAACCGATTGTTGGCTTCAATTCATGGAGTTTGTTTCTTCCTACTTGAGTGTCCCACCTTTTTTTGCATCAGGTCCCGAGTATAGCTTTTGATAGTGGGTTTGAAGTCACTGTACGGGATTAGCAGTGGAGATAGGGGCTTTTCGAGAGCTGCTTTTGCTGCAGCATCAGCCTTAGTGTTACCTGCTATGCCGACGTGACCCGGCAACCAGCAGAGGATGATGTCATATTGGCTAGTAGAAAGGTCGTTGTACAGTTCTAATATGTCCAGGATGATTGGGTGACTTGAAGTCACGTTTAGAAGTGCTTGAAGGCAGGATAATGAATCTGTAAATATGATGAAGTTTTGGGACTGATTTTGCTGTTGAATGTAGGTCAAAGCTGAGAAGATAGCTTTGGCTTCAGCGGTGAAAATGGAACTGTTGTCGGGGATCCTAGAGGAGACAGTCTTGGCTCCAATGACTGTAGCGCTGGCAACTTGGCCATCGTCCTTGGATCCGTCTGTGAAAATGGATCTGTGAGTGTTATACTTAGAACGTAACAGGTTGTATTCCTGTTGGAACACCAAGGGATTTGTTTCAGACTTTTGAGTTTGGTGAGGGTAAGATCGACCTGTGGTTTCACCATTTGCCATGGTGGTGAGGACAGAAGTCGGTATGGTGCAATGATGTCGAGATCAATTTTAGCTGCAGATATGTGTGGTTTGATCCTGATTCCAAGTGGTGGAACCAGGCTTGGCAGTTTAGGAAATAAGTTTTCATAGAGCGGGTTGAAAACACAATTGTATGCTGGATTGGGCTCATTTGAACGTAATTTAGTTATATACTGCAGTGAGAGTTTAATGCGGCGTTGTTCAAGGGAAGGTTCATTGGCCTCTGCATATAGACTGTCTACCGGAGAGGTCCTAAAAGCTCCCAGGCAGAGCCTCAGTCCTTGATGGTGGATAGAGTCTAATTTTTCTAAATTGCTTTTGCAGGCTCCACCGTAGACAATGGAGCCATAATCTAGTTTACTGCGGACTAATGATCTGTACAAGTGAAGGAGGGTGGTCTGATCCCTCCCCACTCTGTATTTGAAACTACTTTTAGCAAGTCTAAAGCCTTTATGTGTGGTAAGAATGTCAGGTGGCGGTCGAATATGAGTCCAAGGAATTTGGCCTCTTCTACTACTTTGATGGGAGTACCATCTAAAGTTAGGTCTGGATGCTTGTGTGGTTTGTATTTACGACAAAGTGAATACAATTTGTTTTGGATTTTGAAAACCTAAAACCATTTTCATTGGCCCATTTTGGATTTTGTTAAGGCAGAGTTGTAGCGATGCAAGGATGACGAACACCGGTGTTAGGGAGGACTTGATGAAGCTGAATACACGTCGTGTGATGAGATGATATCAAAGAGAACAATGTTGATGAAAGTTCGGTGACAACATCGTCACTGTCGCAGGTGTCATTCACGGCAGGAGTGAGTGAGTGAGTTAATATTTAACGTCACATCGGCAATATTTCAGCCATATCGTGACGAGAACATTTGATATTGAAATGAAATATATGTATATTATAAAAACCTGCCGACGAAGGACATTAAAACATTTTCACGACAGGAACTGAAACAGATATAAAGACTTTCAACTTTTTTCATATTCTCTCTTGATATTCCAACCGAAACATATGAGAAATGCATTATTATTATCCCTCGCCACGAAGTGGAAGAAGGGTATATATTTGAGCTCCGTCCGTCCGTCCGTCCAATATGATGGAGGCATATAATCTCAAAAGACGTTATAGAACGGGAAACCAAATTTGGTATGTGTTTTCAGGAGATGATTGCCTTGATGGAGTTCGAAAACGGAAATCGTGTTGCGATTCTTTACAGAGTTGACCCTTGACATGCGTTTCTTGGACTTAGTGCACGGTATTCCCAGAAACAGATTTTCTCAAAAACCGTTATATATATGGAAACCAAATATAGTATGTATTTCCACAGAAGACAGCGTGTGTACCGTCGGAGAATTGAACGTTTTCACCTTTTTACCATTGAAATTACATGAAATATTTACTCTGAAACTAACGCAATAAATTCATGTAAATATGAAGCATGCGTTTCTGTATTTGAAAAGTGTATGTGATTAGTGCATTGCAAATTGTACGCTTGTATGTTTCAACCTTTCAACTGATGGTATTTACACGGTAGACTGTCGTGCCGGATGTGTTTCATGTGCATTGAAATATACTACCCATCAAAAGTTTAGACTCACTTAAAGCACTCACTATATGTTATGTATATGTATGTGGTTACATCGAAGATGAATTTCTCCACCAACTTGGGGAACCAACTGAAAACCTAATGCAGATGAATTGCACAAGGATGATGCTTCAAATTGCGAAAGGCATGAGCAAATGTCGTGCATGTGAACAGATGCGTTTTGGTGTAAAGTTTTGTTAAGAATTCGCCAATTTTCACAGATTTTAATCATTTACTGACCTCATGACAATAATCTTTTCAATGTTACGAATATGTTTTACAATACACCAGTTCATAACTAAACAGTACCTTTAAACAGTATGGAATATTTTGCAAAAGCTAGTTTAGAACAGTGGACAAGTAAGTGGCTACATTTACACTAGTGAGTCTAAACTTTTGATGGGTAGTATACAAGTCAAAATACAGAAACGTACCCGGTATCCTAACCCGGGGACAAGTCCAAATTCCGCAACCCAAAACCGAAACAGTATGAGTGTTCCTCATTACGAATGCTATTGTCAATCATTATGCGTTCGAAGTATGCTCATTTTAAATACGCGGCCCCTGAACATCCGGGTTAGAATTGATCTTCAGTAGCCCATGCTTGTCGTAACGCACGGGATCAGTGGTCAGGCCCGCTGACTTGGTTGACACAGTCATGTCATCGTATCCTAATTGCATAGATCGATGCTCATGCTGTTTATCACTGGAATGTCTAGTCCTGACTCGATTATTTACAGACCGCCGCCATATAGTTGGAATATTGCTGAGTGCGGTGTAACCCAGCTAACACGAAAATGTTTTAAAATATCCCCAAAACATTTCGTGAAATGTTCCAGAAACATTTTTTAAAATGTTTTATTCACGTGATTTTGTATGGTTCCAGAAATGTTTTAGAAACATTTTCAAAAACGTTTAACTATAAGGTTTTTAAAATGTTTTCCTGAAATGTTTTTTCGAGATGTTTTGGAAATGTTTTAAAAAATGTTTTATTCACGTGATTTTGTATGGTTCCAGAAACGTTTCAGCAATGTTTTCTCCAACATTTAGTGAATATATTCCATAAAGGTTTTCTGAAAACGTTTTATAGATGTGATTTTGTATGGTTCTGGAAACGTTTTAATAACATTTCCTTTGAACATATAGTTTTAACTTTTCAAACATATAGAATAGCCCTGATAACAATTAGGTGGTGTTTTGTTTAAAACGTAAACCACTGGAACAAAACGTAGAACACTAACAGTTAACAATGTACATAATATGTCTGTGGCAAATAGTTAGACATATACATAGGGGCGTGTCTCACTTAGAAACAGCGTTAGAAAGACATATAGATGTCTAGACGCAACTCTTTTACTATATAATAGGGTTGGGTCTATACACCTATATGTCTTTCTAACGCTGTTTCTAAGCGACACATGTCCCTACGGACATATATAGTTAATCTTTACAAAGGACACCAAAACAGATAAAAGAATGGCAGACTTGTAATCAACAATTTTATTAATAATTCTGGAAACGTGTACACTTTTTTCAGTTTGTTTCATTATCTTCTTCTTTGCTTTTGCAGTCATCCATATTTCTGAAATATAGAAAACTTTCAATAATCTTAAGCAGGTACTTCTGATATTTACTCAAACCAAGTGACACTAACCAGGAGAATAAGTCTTCTACCACGTTTGTACAGACATGTGTTTGGTGGACATGAACACACTATTGGAATGTAATGATTGATATGATAATATCCAGAATCATGCTGAATACCAAAGATGTAGCAAGCACAGAATATCACTTACTGGTCAGAGGCTGGGTACAAGTACAAATCAAATCTCGCAATAAAAGCCCAAAATATATCAACATGTTTATAGACAATGATATTTAACAGCTGCACTTACATAATTCACAGCTCGTGGATTATTTGATGTGTTCTCCCATAAATCCATCATGTGTAACAGTGTGTTTGTATATCCTGGAATGCTTGTCTCATATTCGCCCTTGCTGTAATGAAAATAACAATGTTCCGCATTATGACAAGTTATAAATTGAACTGTTTTCGATAAAGCATATAAAGTAGATCTAGTTAGTCTAAAGCTGAAACATACTATGTAATTGCCTCAAAGTTTTGGTGGGTCGACGTGTGTATATTTAGCACAAAACATTTTCGAAACATTTTCATAAGGTTTCAGAATAGTTTTCAAAAATGTTTTTGGAACGTTATAAAAATAAAATAAACTCACTCACTCTTATCTAACCCTTTCAAATGCATCAAGAACAAGAGTGTGCAGTTCCGATCAAGAACACGGCACATTTACGGAATGTACTCGTCCTTGGGTATGTTTCTGTATTCTGATTTTGGCTAAGGTACGATTCTGTATACAGCCCCCACTTCATCTGTGTGGTCAAAAATAAATTACGAGTATGTGTTAATAATGACAGAAAAAAAGCCGTGCGCCATGACGCGCAATCCGCGTTCGTTTCCTTTTCTGTGTACGGAATGGAATATATAGTTCACAATTCCTAGTTTTGTATTTATTTATGTTATGGTTGCCGAATAAACCGCATGGTGTTTGAGATCAATGTTGTTCACTGGCGTGGTGGCAGCCCACAATGTCCGACAAACAGGATTCCTAGGCATCGTTTGCCTTTATATCTACACAGTCGGTGATCAACTCTGCTCAAACAAGTGTATTTCAAGACGTTTTCGTCGTATTCACTGGACGTGCACATAACTTCGTGAGTGCTTGCAATTTCGTGATATTATTGTAATTGAAATCATGGCTCACGATCGGACTCCAAAACAGTGGCAAATGACCAAACATGACACCATAAACTCGTTTTAAAACTGGCGACAGAATTTCGTTGATATCCTGTCATTAGATGACAATTTCGCCCCTTTTCTCGCAGAAGATTTGAAACTGCCGGTAATCGTACTCGGGGCTTACAGGATGATGACGAAAATGTCCAGCAATGCCAGCGAAAAACTGCAGCGCAGAAAAATGTGCAGCTAGACCTGATGCTCGGTCAGATAGCGAATTATTGTGGTGTCATATCTAGAAATTCTATCATCAGACACTCCATGTCAGTTCGTGACATTTGGCAGAGAAAATTAGACAGCATTACCTGTCGCAATCCACAGGATCCCATTTCCTAGACATCGTTGACATAAAACTTCAGACAGATGAACATCCCGAGGACTTATATCAAAGGCTTGTTGCGTTCGTAGAAGACAACCTTCTCACTGCCGGATGTGGCATTCAACACCATGGTCAGGAACCAGTTGTTGATGAAGATCTCTCCCCTACCATGGAAAACATGATTGTTGTGTTGTGGTTACAGCTGATCCATCCTGGTCTCCCTCAGCTTGTCAAGCAAAAGTATGTGTCGAACTCCGTAATCAAACTCTGGCGGCCACTCAAACCTGAGATTTCACAAGCCCTATCATCATTGCTGGAGGAACTTCGTAACACTGAAGACACAAAAGCCTCCAGGGCTTGTAACGTCCACCAACCCAAACGACAATCAACCACCCACTGGTCACAACCAGATGTCTGAGAAAGGTAAGCCTACTGTGGAGTTGGACCAACAAACCAGACTTCAGCTTAACTTGACTTTCCATGGACATGTCTAAATTAATCTTGAATGTTGTTACTTCTCTTCTTTACTTTTCAATTTCATACAGTCAGAACGAGCAGATTAACTGCAATACAACTGAAAAACTATGTCTTAGAATGTGGCTAACAAAACCAGTAAAATAGCAAACACAATACTTAAGATATGCTATGCAATGGCTATTATGATTTCATATATATACCTATGATTTTCCAATAAAGTATGTTTATCTCCATTCTACCAGAACCGCATTATTAAGATTCGTAAGAATACATACTGTGTTGGATAATCATACTGTGTTGATAATCAGAGGTATGTAACGGATTATATACCTCTGAATGACTTTAGATAACCAGTCATAATCCAGTGTTTACTGAAGTCATGGTAGAATTTTTATTATGACAAATAGCATGAGAATATATGCATACTTGCTTGGTACTTGGTCACATGCAACCCAAAAATCAAACATAATTAAAACACAATTATCACTTATTCATGACATATGATATACATTGCTGATGATGAAAAACAAATAAACCAAATTATAAGTGTACAATCGCAAATAAAAGCGTAATATTTTGTACATGGATTTGCTTCCCTCGAAACGAAGCACCGGGATACCAAACCGAGTCAGAGCAGGTGGGTATGCACTCAAGTGTAACGAAGACTTCCATTGGCTGGTTCATTTGCCGATGCCCTCACTGCTCATTGTGTGTATGTATATAGAGATGTTGGTTTTGTAAATACATGCTTATTTTTGTGTATAACATTTTGCAATCAACAAACATTATAACATGTCATGTGTACAAGTATCACACTTGCTGTCTGTCTGTGTAATTACATAATGTGACAGAGACCGAACTTGGGGCACGAGCCATAAATCAATGCGCTTTTGTTTATTGTGTACAGCCTGATTGGTGTTCAGTTCATGTGGTCAGTGATGAAGTTGTGTATTGCATAATGTCATTAGCAGACAGGCAGGGCAGACACATAGGTGTAAATAAAACAGACATTGAGTTTTGTCTGTGACAAAGATATATCTATATCACAGTTGGAAATTCTGTCAATGCTAAATAATGACATTGCTTTTAAGTATCGAACTGAGAATGTGACACGGTAAGAATATCTGGTGTAACCTCCACCAACTGCAATAACATCTTGTGGTGAAATAGACTAATGAAATTATATAAACAGTTAAATCGGTAATTTACTGTCATAACATATAAAAAGCTTCAGCGCCTGTGACATATCAACAAAACATTAGAAAAATAGCTCACAAAGCCTCCACCCGAGTATTCACCGCCAGCCGAAGATTTTCCATCTTGAAATGTCGAGGCGCCTCACTGGTTGACACATAGCTGAGTTGATCTAGACCCTAACAAGGTTCTTTTATGTAACAAGTAGATTATTAACTATTTGTTTTGATTAGATTACTCCTGCTCACGACCTTATAATCCGGACATCCCGCTTCCAAGTTGCGCGAACCTATTCACTGCGCATGCGCTATATGGCGAAAGCGCCAGCACAGCTATTGAAACCACTTTTCACCCCAAGCTGGGGTGAATTTATTGAATCGTTTGAACTCCAATTTCGTGGGGGTGTCATCACATACAGGTTGAATTTGCATTTTGATTATTTGTATCTGGTAAGTCCATACGAAAGGTATCAGAGTCTGCAAAGTTGTGTTTTCACGTTGCATGTGACCTTTAATTAGTTATATAACATAGTAACTTACTTTAGCATATATCAACATTTACTTTAAACATTGTGACAAACAACAAACCTTTCATGGTAAATTCCTCAGAAATAGCCTGGCAATATAGTAGTACACGTGAAATATAGATAATAACTTGCCAAATACATAAAGTTACTTTAAAGAAATGTGAACAGAGGAACATTTTGAGATAGATGCCTAAAAAAATACATAAGCAAAATGTAAATAATAAATTACAAAATACATAGAAATAACTCACCATTACTGTATTCCCATATAGATAGCTTGAACTTACTGAAATATATGCCAGACAAGCTGCCTCGTGCATCCTGCCATTATAGTATTAATACTGCCATGTACTTTGAAATGTAAACAAGGCTCCCCCAAACTTGGGGGTTACACTACACCAAAACAGAATCTGTATTTCAACCATCACTTTTCATCCCGAACTTCAGTGCAGACTGAATCATCTGACAGTTGTGATTTGGGGATTTTGTGTGAGAGTTTTGTGTTTTTGAATGTCCATGCATCCAGTAATTAAAACTGACCATATTTTTAAATATTTAGTACTGTCTTTTTCTACTGATGACTTCCACTTGAATCTGACCACAGGTATTTTCAAGCAGTTGACATTTTGTGCAGGACTGGGCTTGGTCTGGTTTGCTTACTCAGTTACTGTTCTCGGAAAAGGAACAGCCGAGGTGGTCATATTTTATACTTTTATTGCTTCTTTAAAGCTAGACACTGCACACATAGCTGTTGATATCTTAGTTTAATTTTAAAAAAAATATAATGTTACTATAGAAGTCAATGGGAAAATATTTGGCTTTGTGTAACTAAAAGCCGAGATGAGGACTAAAAAACACAACCCTGAGTTACCTCCCTTTATAATAAGATACTTAAATTATTGAAATGATAGGAAATTATCTCCCTTTAACTAATAAACCTTAAGGAAAAATGCACTAACCAGAGTAACCTATTCAAGCTTTAAAAAAATCGAAAACTATTAATATCTTAAAGGCACAATCTGACACATCTTCGACAATATTTGGGCCTATAATATATATTTGGGCATATGTACTCACTTTAGCTTCATATTGGTGCAATAAAGACTTATTATCCCATACGACTTGACTTAAATTCATAACTGAAACTCCGAGGCGAACAGCTTCCAAACAGAGAACACTTGCCATATATGGAATGTTAACAATTGCTCCGTAACTCGAAAAACTGTCGCATGCGCTGTTGTGAGTGTTTGCCGAACTGGTTTCAATCACAAATTGCGTTTTTGTCTAGGACTGAGTTCTGTCTCCAAACGAGTTATATGATATTCGCAAAGAGCGCTCAAGTTACATAACTCTATGGGGTTCGCTTGAAATAATGTTAGGCCGTATAGGTCCCGAGAGTTGATTAAATGCAACATTACATTATTTCATTCTAACTCTTTAATTTAATACTGTAATCTAAATACATAATTTTATAAATTATATGGAAGCTTTCCTGATTGCTGATAATTAGTATTATTGAGAGAAATACATTATCTATTTTGGAGGGAGTGTGGTGTGAAATAGTGCCTTTTAGATGAAAACTAAATAAATATACTTATATGAATGAAAACAGCTAATTCTCAGAGAAATAATGTAAAAATTACTTTACTGAAAAAAAAATAACATACTGATGACCTTGAAGACTTAAGAAAGATAAAGTTGAATGAAAATAAATCTTTTTGGCCATTCACGTACCTGCCTTCTAATTATGACATTTGTGAGAACAATAACTGTTCCTCTTAAACTTTTGAGCCAAAAATGACAAGAAACATAATCACTCAATATTATCTCAAGCACTTAAAATATCAATGAATAGGGCTGCGCAGTATAACTGGTTTACCGGTATTTACCGGTTCAGACATGAAACCGATCACGTGATTGCGATCGCTGATCGAAAACCGGTATTTTGACATGCATTCGGAAATCTTCGGATATTTCCGTTTTGGAATTGTTCTTTTCCTGTTTCATTAGTGCCAAATGTTACTTACATTTTAATTTGTCATGATTAAAAGTTTGTATTAAAGGTTAATCAATCATAGTGATTTTGTTGTTTTTTTTGCTTTATAATCAAGCATATACTCGATTAGAAATAGTTTTTGTTAAAAATAATTCTTGCAATATATTGCAATACATATCTAATATATGCTTCCGTCGCATCATAATATATCATAATATGAAAATTCTCTGCAATACCCACCCTATCAATGAAAACTTGAATCATGATCACTTAAAAGTTCATATTTATAACAACACTTTAGAATTCATTTGTTATGATCAGGCACAACTTATGGAGCTGGAAGCGACAACTCAGTTGTAGAGATCTTCATTTTGACTACTCTCACACAGGCCTTTCTGTTTGTCAGACTTTAATTTATTATTTATATAAAACATTTCTCGTCACTATATGGCTGAAATATTGCCGATGTGACGTTAAGTATTAACTCACTCACTCACTCTGTTTGTCAGAGTTTCAGTCACTCTCCAGTGATCCAATACTTCTGTCTTAGTTTGGATAGCATGGCATTTCTTCCGAGATAACCAATAGACTTGTGCATCTCTTCTTGGATAAGTCTGGCAATTGGTGAGTTTCTTGGAATGGTGATTTGATGTTTAGTGTCAAAGTTCATGTGGGCCGACCACCCACTCTGATGAGTTGGTCTTTAAGGAAGGGGTTGAGTCAGGCTGGGGCCAAGCATAATTGTTCTCACATAGGAAGTCTGGACCGTAATTACTGCATCTTGTGCAAAACAGCCGGGCGTCCAGCTTATAATACCCATTATAAACTGTCACCTTGACTTTATTTTGAAGAAGTGCACAAATATCATGCATCTTAATGATTTCTTTCAGTCTCGTGTGCCATGTACATTGTCTACGTTTGACATCGTGGAGGAACTAATGATTTATTTTGTGTCACATTCTGACCTCACAGTAGACAGCACACAACACCTTTTGTCTCAGTTTGATGATATGACCCTAAACGTAAAAGTGGAGTGTCTGAATACATTCAAGACTGTTTTGATAAGTGACAGTGAATATTACATATATACACAGGAATAACACAAAAGGCAATGAAAAGCAGAAAAGGATATTTACTACTTCACCTGATTATTTTTCATACTCAAAGTCAGATGTAATGCAACAGTATTGCATAAACTAGTGTGGCACTTCGCTCAACCAAGTAGATCAACAGTAGCTTAAAAGGGGTCATTCCATACAGTGAAATTATGAGTAGGCATGAGTGCAGATGTAGTTTTTCCTTTGAGAATAATATTTTAATAATGTTAAAATTAATATTTGTTTATGTGGAGCACTATAAAATATGTTTGCCTTTGGGGTTAGCAGATTGTGTACTAACACCATTCATGCCTATATTTCAAAACAAAAACCAATCTATTCAATCACCATATTTCACAATGAGCAGCATGTTAGTTTTACAGACTAAAACTTTAAGATCGTCCCTAGTATGGTGATCTACCTTCAGTTCCTGGTGATCTATAGCCCATTTTTATACTGTTTTGTGCTAATTTCAATTTCATTTTTAGAGAGAGATGCTAGTTTTATTTTTTGATACCGTGATATTCTAGTTCGTTTTACTATCCTTCGATGACCGGTTTTTATTATTGCCATGTATTTATCGTGAATTCTATCCTTGTTTTAGTCCGCGATATGGCTGAAATATTGCCGATGTGACTGAAAATCTTAACTTACTCACTCACTCCCTTAGATGCTGGTTGTCTATTGGCCGTTTTTTCATATTGCATTGTGGTGATCTACCTTCAGTTGTTGGCGATCTATAGCCCGTGTTTTATACTGTATTGTCTTCTTTAATTGGAATGTTTTAGCTTTGCTCGCTAGTTTTATATTCATAGCTGTGATTCTCTAGTATTTTTACTGTCCATTGTTGACAGGTTTTAATCTCAAAGTATTTTCACTATTTATTGCATAAATTGTTTTCGTCCGCGATATGGCTGAGATATTGCGATGTGATTTTAAATATTAACTCACTCACTCACTCATGTTGCATTATCCTCTATGGCAGTAAATCTTGCATGCACGTTTTAAATTTCTATATATGTGATAGTTGTTGTACTGTTCTTTGTTGACAGATTTTATTAAATAGATTTATTTATTATTAATGTGTATATTGTATTAGTTACGATATGGCTGAATTATTGCCGATGTGATTGAAAATCTTAACACACTCAATCAATGCAAAAACTTTTAAAGCCGAACTCACTAAAGGTTCTTTTGTTTGTACATAGGCACACTGTGTGGGTAAGCAGTAATCTAAATCAAACTGAATCATTTATTTTAATTTCTCACCTATAACAGATGTATTTGGAATTATCCATGCTTTTTAACATGTCACAAAACAAACTCAGATTTTGGAAATTTAACAATCATATGTGGAAAATTAATGGATTTACAACATTCTGAATGATGAAAGTGTGCACTACAGACATGAATAATAACTTAGTGTACAATAAAAGATAAAAAGTCATTTTGGTGGCGTTTATTTTCAGCCCGTGAGTTTATTTGGAATTACCCATGCATGCATCTGAAAGGCACCTCATCTGTGGAAAGCCGACAACTTCTCTCGCCAGTAGTTATAATAATTATGTGCTATACATAGTTTTCTGAACAACATATCCCGGTTTCAGCTTCGACTGACCCAAGTCAGGATGCGAGCCAGAGCAAGGCTGTACCATCAGTGCCAGTGGACGACGCAAGACTCTGATCTACAAGGTAGGTGGGAAAACCCAGCAGGCAGGAAGCTCAATCCTTAATTCTTCCTGCATTTAACACACTGATGTATATACCCGTGGAGAGTCTGATCTGCAAGGTAGGTGGGAAACCCAGCAGGCAGGAAGCTCAGTCCTTTATTCTTCCTGCATTTAACTGCGCTAGGCGTATATACCCGTGGAGAGTCTGATCTGCAAGGTAGGTGGGAGAACCCAGCAGGCAGGAAGCTCAGTCCTTAATTCTTCCTGCATTTAACACACTGATGTATATACCCGTGGAGAGCCTGATCTGCAAGGTAGGTGGGAAAACCCAGCAGGCAGGAAGCTCAGTCCTTAATTCTTCCTGCATTTAACACGCTGGCGTATATACCCATGGAGAGTCTAACAGGAAGCAGGCAGGAAGCTCCATCCTTAATTCTCTGTGTAATTAACAGGAACATGATGTATAAGATGAGTATATGGATGGCAACTTCTTGTTTATTGTTTATCACTATATCTCTAGGCTGCTTCTTGCCTTCTTCAGCTGATCACTAGTGTTGGGAATTGGTTAAAATCTCATAATTGATGATTGGTTCATTACAACCAATCAATCATCGAAAATAATTGGTTAGCGTCATTTATGAAATGTGTTATTGCACAAAAGAATAAGGAAAAACATGTAGTTCTTTTGGGGGTTTTGGCAAAATTTCACATCTTTAAAGGATGACTAGTATGGAGGAACATAAATTTCTTAGAGTCTTTAAGATAAATTCAATCATGACTTGGAGCGAGCTTGTAGTGCTTATGAAATGTAACAGACAAAACCAACCTAGAGAAAAATAGTGTTATTGAAAACAAGTGTTCTAGAATTGTTTGTGTTCGATTATGAGAAAACAGGATCGATTGCTTGGTCGTTTAGTCACTGCGACCAATCTTGATTATTTCGATTAATCGGACCACCACTAGTGATCTAGCGTTGTTATCACCTAAAAAGGGGCAAGAAGTAGTCCAGAAATGTTGTGATATACAATAAACAAGAAGTTGCATCCATATACTCGTCTTGTATATATGAGTGTATCTATACCCATACAGTTGAAAGGCAACTCATTTGTGGAAAGGAGCAAACCTCTCTCTGCAGCCAGTAGTTATAATGTCTATGTTCTATATGTATAGTTTTCTGGAGAACATATTCCTGGTTTCAGCCTCGATGGACCACGACTCAGCATCGAGCCAGAGCAAGGCTGTTCCACCAGCGCCAGTTCACGACACAAGACTCTGATCTACAAGGTAGGTGGGAGAACCTAGCGGCAGGAAGCTCAATCCTTGATTCGTCTTGCAATTAACACACTGATGTATATACCCGTAGAGATTCCGACTTGCATGAGTATGACAAAATGGTATCGATTGACATTCATAAACCAGACAAATACAATCGAGGCTACCCTAAAGGAATAAGCTAAGCGAGTGAGTTAAGATTTATCGTCACATCGGCAATATTTCAGCCATATAAGTAGCGAAAACAATTAATAATTTCATCATATATAAATTTACAAAATATAAGCCTGTTGACGAAGAACAGTAAAAGTACTAGTGTATCACAGATATCCATATAAAACTAGTAATGCAATCTAAAACATTGTAACTAGAAATGACAAGACAATGTAAAAAACAGGCTATAAATCGCCAACAACTGAAGGTAGATCACCATACTAGAGACCATGGGGACTTCACGAGTAATGCTAAGCGTTGAACAACAAACAAAACAGCCTGACATAAGCTAACATAATATGTTATTATCCTAATGAATTCAAACAACATTTGTAGACATTATCAAGTTATCATGGTCAACAAATGTAAACAGTCCACAGCTCTACACAAAACACACAAAGGAACTTCTGGCTCTCATTCCCATCCATGTTGTCAATCATGGTGGAATAGTTAATAGCAATGTCTGAGTCCTATATGAACACACATGAAAACATTGTAGATGTATGACAAAAGTCCAATGTACACAATAGGAATTTGACTATTGAGGGGAAACAACTATTGTGATAGCGATGGTCTATTGCAACATACTGTTGCGATAGCGATAGTCTTTGCAGCATACTATTGCGATAACGATAGTCTATTGCAACATACTATTGCGATAACGATAGTCTATTGCAACATACTATTGCAATAATAATAGTCTATTGCAACATACTATTGTGATAGCGATAGTCTATTGCAACATACTATTGCAATAATAATAGTCTATTGCAACATACTATTGTGATAGCGATAGTCTATTGCAACATACTATTGCGATAACGATAGTCTATTGCAACATACTATTGCAATAATAATAGTCTATTGCAACATACTATTGCGATAGCCATAGTCTATTGCAACAAACTATTGCGATAGCGATAGTCTATTGCAACATACTATTGCAATAATAATAGTCTATTGCAACATACTATTGCAATAATAATAGTCTATTGCAACATACTATTGCGATAATAGCAACATACTATTGCGATAGCGATAGTCTATTGCAACATACTATTGCGATAGCGATAGTCTATTGCAGCATACTATTGCGATAGCGATAGTCTATTGCAACATACTATTGCGATAACGATAGTCTATTGCAACATACTATTGCGATAGCGATAGTCTATTGCAACATACTATTGCAATAATAATAGTCTATTGCAACATACTATTGCGATAACGATAGTCTATTGCAACATACTATTGCAATAATAATAGTCTATTGCAACATACTATTGTGATAGCGATAGTCTATTGCAACATACTATTGTGATAACGATAGTCTATTGCAACATACTATTGTGATAGCGATAGTCTATTGCAACATACTATTGCGATAGCGATAGTCTATTGCAACATACTATTGCGATAGCGATAGTCTATTGCAACATACTATTGCGATAGCGATAGTCTATTGCAACATACTATTGCAATAATAATAGTCTATTGCAACATACTATTGCGATAGCGATAGTCTATTGCAACATACTATTGCGATAACGATAGTCTATTGCAACATACTATTGCGATAACGATAGTCTATTGCAACATACTATTGCGATAACGATAGTCTATTGCAACATACTATTGCGATAACGATAGTCTATTGCAACATACTATTGCAATAATAATAGTCTATTGCGACTATAATAATACTATTGCCAAAGCTTTTTTCCTTGACTGAATTGTCTCATTTGAAGTCATTTCCCAAATAAGTGTATAGTTAATATGAAACAATAGCAATACAAAGATACAAAACCAATAGTTTTAACAGTTAATAAATAGTTAAAGGTCACATGCAACCAAAAAATCAAACATAATTAAAACACAATTATCACTTCTTCATGACATATAATATGCATTGCTGATTATGAAAAACAAATAAACAATATTATAAGCTATATAATCGCAAATCAAAAGTGCAATATTTTGTACTTGGGTTTACCTCCCTCGAGAAGCGAAGCAGCCGGGATACGAACCCAGTCAGAGCTGGTGGGTGTGCACTCAAGTGTAACGGCTGGTTCATTAGCAGATCACCGCCTTCACGGGTCATTGTGTGTGTATATATAGAAAGTTGGGTTTTGTAAATACATGCTCATTTTTTGTGTATAACATTTTGCAATCAACAGACATCATAACATGTCATGTGTTCAAGTATCACACCTGCCTGTCTGTGTAATTACATAATGTGACAGACCGAACTCGGGCCATAAATCAATCGCGTTTTGTTTATGGTGTATAGCCTGATTGGTGTTAAGTTCAAATTGCATGTGGTCAGTGATCGCAGTTGTGTATTGAATATTGTCATTAGCAGACAGGCAGGCAGACACACTGGTGTCAATAAAACAAGACATTGAGTTTTGTCTGTGACAGCGACATATCTATATCACAGTTAGAAATCGTGTCAACTCTAAATAATGCTTTTAAGCATCGAACTGAGAAAGTGACTCGGTAAGAACGTGTGGTGAAATAGACAAATGAAATTATATAAACAGTTTATTTACTGTCATAACATACAAAAAGCTTCGCCTGTGAGATATCAACAAAACATTAGGAAACTAGCTCACACCAAAGCCTTCACAGAGTATTCACCAGACAGCAGCCAGCTCCAAGTTCGCGAACCTATTTCACTCGCGCGACGTGCTATGAGCTTAGCCAGCTGTTGAAACCGTATTCCCCAGAAAGTCTGGGGAAAATAAGTGAAACGTTTGAACTCCGATTTAGTTTTTTTTTTCATCGGCGTTATTTTTCAACTTTATAAGTTGAATTTGCATTTTGACGATTTGTTTGGTAAGTCCATACCGAAAGGTATCAGAATCTGCAAAGTTGTGTTTTTCGTTGCATGTGACCTTTAATAAAAACAAATAACCGTCAATTACTAAACTATCGATAGTCACAGATACTATTGATGCATCAATAATTTTTCGTTTCTACCATCGATTCATAGCTATCGGAGTCTCAACAATTGTAATCCATTGCTATAGTTTGGCATGAAATGCATGTGGACCCAGTTTTTTGTAAATATCCCTTCATCCAATGATCCAATCGATCTCAAACTGTGCAAGTGGATGTTTTGTCAGACAACCTAATCACATTGTAAATCACCGATTTTATGTATTTGTATTAAAGAATCTGTCTATGTTACTGTCAACAAAATAAACAGCAGAACGCCGACGGCTTGCAGAGGGAGGGAGCCAATGACCTGTAACAGCGGCAGTGTTGGGTCATAAAGGTCAACAGCTATGCACGTGACAGGTATGAAGAGGTGTCACAGGTCGTGAATAGGGTACGGTGGGTGCCAACTGTCAACCATCATACGGAGTTTGTTTCTCTGAGTTGTTCAACATTAACCACAAAACCCATTAGTGAGAATTATTCTGTAGGTTAAAATCTTTAAATTTGTAATGTTAATGTCATATTTTGTTTATGCAGTACCTTAGTGGAAATGCATTTAAAGAACACAGAAAGTATATTTACACTAAATCATTA